TGTTACTTCTCTACACCAGCAAACATGACTAAGATTTAATATGATAGAAGCAATAATCAAAAGCGACAACTACAATGGATTTGTGACTGATACGAGTCGTTTCTTGAGACGAATCGTTCTTCATAAATTATATGTTCAGGATAAGCCACAGATAGAATTACTTAAAGATACATGCAATGTAGGGCATACACACAAGTACTGTCTCTCAGTCTACCCCCTCTCTCTTTCTTTCTTGAGAAAAAAAAGAAAGATAGAGAGAGTGAGAGAAATGGGGTCAGATATTTATATGGAGATAGAGCAAAAGACAGAGCAGAAAACAATAATGTTGATTTCTATGCATACACTGTCTATATGTAATACAGATATATGTAATATATATATATATATATATATATATATATTTGTCTTAAGTAAAAATATACATATATTATTGTCTTAAGGAAGTATATATATATATATATATATATATATATATATATATATATATATATATACATTAGTTAGTCAAAATATATACACACAGACACACACAACCACATCCAGTCACACACACACATATATATATATATATATGAACATATATATATATATATATATATATATATATATATATATATATATGTGTGTGTGTGTGAATATATATGGCCTGACGATTGCGTTGAGCATGAAACAGACTGTCACTGCTGGTATTGTTCTCAGTGTCCATTTTATATTTACATAAGCGCTAGCTATTCCTAATAACTTTAACCCATAAATATAGCATATGTAAAAAGTATATTTTATAATATATATATATATATATATATATATATATTGTTGTTGTTGTTCCTAATATTCACTAAAATGAGCACACATGAATGATAATCTGTCCCAAAACAAATAAAAACAAAGTTTTATCGTCAAAACAGAAATGTTTTTTTTAGGAAATCTTTGTAAAAATATGTTTTAAGGTCTTTTATCCTCAACATATTTAATTTCATGAAACTTCGAGAAATTTATTTTTTCACTGTTCAGTGTTTCTATTAGTTATATGCAGAATTACTTTAATTAGAGAGGTTTTTTTTGTTTTTTTTTGTAAACATGACTCGCAGTTACCGAAAATCTGATTGGGTCGTAAAATAAAAAAAAAATGAAATCCAAATAAGCCATTATTTAATTAGTAAAGCCTTTAATTGCTTTTATAAATAACATATATTACAGACATTATTGTCTTAAGAGAAAAATCGATCAATAATGAATTTCTGTTTTTAAATCAAACAATTGGCTTAGTTTAATGAAACATACAGGACTAAATCACTTTATTTTTTTAGAAAATCTTTTTAAAAATAGTTTTTTTTTTAAATCTTTAATCCTGTATTTATTTAATTTCATGAAACTTCGAGAAATTAATTTTTGTACCGTTTAGTGATGTTTGTATTAGTTATAAGCAGAAGTCTTTGGAGATTTTCTTTTTTTTTTTTTTTTTTTTTTTGTAAACGTGACTCGCAGGTATCGAAAATCTTGTATGTATGCCCTACATTGTTTGGATCGTAAAATAAAAAAAATGGAATGAAACTAAGCCATTATTTAATTAGTAAAGCCTTTAATTGTTTTTATGAATAACATATAATTACACACACTTTTCTTAAGAAAAAAATCGATCAATACAAGAATTATTTTCATTTTAGAATATTTTATAAAGTTTTAAATCTTTTAAATTTCTGTATAAATTTATACGGGTTAGGAGATAATGTTAAGTATAAAACTATATTTCCTAATCATAAATAGAATAGCTTGTGCACGCGCGTGTGCATGTGTGTGTGTCTGTACAATGTACCAATTTTTGTACATAAGGTCGTCCATATATCACATTGTTAGTGAGTATAGTCACTATAATAAATTTAAAGCCAAAGTACCTAAAATTCAAGAAAACATAGACTGACATTACTTGGCAGTTATAAATTATATAAAATGGTGCTCACTTATATTCCTCACGTTAATTTTACAGATTCGTTTCCCGTAGAAAAATTGATATCAACATCCGGCTGTCAGTCTATCAAAAGCCCTGTCAACATCCAATCAAAACACCGGCTTTTGCGTTAAAAAATGCGTTTCCGTGATATTTGAAACTAAATGTATGTCATATTTGTTTCAAAACATTAATTAAACTTTGAATCAGCTAATATTACTGGAATCAAGATTCCCAACAGTATATTTTATTTTAAAAGAAATTTGAAGAAGGGGAATTAAAATGAGCTGGCAGATGGTTAAAAAAATATATAAAATCAGCGAAATTAGCCCAGCAGGTTTAATTGACTTCGAAACATTCAAAGTATTTGCTTATTATAATATATATTATTTTTAATATATATATATATATATATATATATATATATATATATATATATATATATATATATATATATATATATATAGAAATGGACAAAGTCCGACAATCGTTTTAAGACATTTTTATGTTTTTACATTTTTTTTAAATTATTTGTCCATTTCATAATGTGTGACGTCATTTGTTTACATTTGGATACGTCATGAGCAGATATGAATGTACGTGAGAGAATCATGGCAGATTGTAGTTTAAAGACAGTAAAATCTACCTTGCTAACCGAACGCTCCTCTGTGACCCAATCGGTTAAAGGCACGTCAGGCTATATGACGGTTCCGTATAGGATACAGGTTCGATTCCTGTTGGAGGACGAATATTTTCCAAGAATACTGTTTATTATAAACCGAGCATTACTTAAATATACTTAATACTTAATATAAAATGTCTATATATATAAAAAGATTTTTCATTTTCAGAAATTAAATTTAAATCTTTGGTATCACGTTTCTATAGAGATAACTATATATATATATATATATATATATATATATATATAAATTATCATGTGACCTGCATACAGTAGAAAGATGTTTTGATATATTTTGAAAGTGTTTTTTTTATTTTTTGAATTAAAGGTTTTTCTTTCTCCAAGAACGGTTGCCACCCAAGGTTATAGAACCCAGTCTTTCCTGCTGTTTACTCTTAGCTGAGAAAGAAGATAATTCATAACTTTCCAAAGGGTATTAGCACGTAAGTGAATGTCATGGAACTAACTGAATTCGAACTCACCTCTCCGATTTGCTAAATAATATATATATATATATATATATATATATATATATATATATATATATATATATATATATATATATATATATATATATATATATATATATATATATATATATAATTTTTTCCTTGAAAAACAGAGAATGTCTCATATCGAGAATATTTAACATTGAAAAACATAAGGAAAAAAATTAATTATTTTTAATAATATGTGGAAATCTCCGCTTTTACCTGAAGACGGTCACGAGACCAGAAACACGTGTAGTAAAATTATGGAAAATAAAGCATAAAGCATAATATTTTTTTTTCTAAAAAATCCACATTACAACCAAAAACGTTTGCGGCACCTCTCTTCTTTCTTTTTAATATACATACTTTTCTCTCGTTGGAACCACTACAACCTCTATTTTTATATATATATATATATATATATATATATATATATATATATATATATATATATATATATATATATATTTCAAATTTTCCATATTTGTGTGATTTCAAGAGTACTTCACCATCGGAAAATGAAAATCTGAAGAGAGAGACACTGAACTTTGAACAATGAGTCATGTGCATTGACTCTCTGTTCAACGCATCCTTGCCCTGATTATCAATCAAAGTTTGAAAACAGATTTTCTCATGCAGTATATTTGCATTCCCCATTTCTCCCTCTGCACACAGACACATAGACACACACACACACACACACACACACATATATATATATATATATATATATATATATATATATATATATATATAACATTAACCTATGTATAAGATTTGTCTTGATATATATAAGAAATACCGGATATAAGAGAGATTTCTCTGGTCCCAAAGTCAATGTTCCATAATTTCCGGACCTAAACAAAAATATACTTAAACCCGGATATAAGAGAAACCTGATATATTTTCAAATTCTTATCCGGTCCTGACAACATATCCATATATTGACAATAATATATATATATATATATATATATATATATATATATATATATATATATATATATTCATTTTTTTTTTTAAATTATATAAAATTTCTTCTGCTTTCCTAAAAATATTAATTTTTTGTCTAAAGCATCTGGACGTCCGTTTCATCCTACTACTCACCAGTTCCACGGCGTTTACTTTCATGTGTGCTCAGATTACCTTAAAACAGTGCTTCAAGAGCCACGACTTTTTTTTTCCCTTTAAATTATTTATCGTTAAGAGCTTTTACTGCTTTTTAGTCCCAAATTTACGAAAAATGTCTCTTTCTAATTTTGTTGAGGATTATTTTAGGCTCGACGAATTACTATATGATATATATATATATATATATATATATATATATATATATATATATATATATATATATATATTTGTGTGTTTGTTTGTGTAGACCATATATAATATTATGTCCTGCTTTATACGATTAACTACACTGGCACAAGGCTTGTGATCAAGAATTAAATTATTATATTTAGAGGAGCGTTTAAAATATTTTGTTAACTGCTTTTGTTCCACACTTCCTGGGATGATAAATAATATTAGGTCCCAGTTATATAAAGATATGACGCCTCCCCTAAATAAAAAAATATATATTTTCATAGTATTAAATACCATATTTATTATATATTTTTATATCAAAATTACTAATAATACCTATTTGTAATAAAATTATGTCAATAATCTTTTTCTGTCTGTCTGTCTGTCTCTCCTTTCAATCTCTCTCTCTCTATATATATATATATATATATATATATATATATATATATATGTGTGTGTGTGTTGATCCTTGTTTTGGTATATAAATTTATTTGAACACAATTCAGAAAGATCGAATAAATCCAAGAAAAATCAACAATTGTCTGCAAGACTTATTTTCCCCTTTTCGAAAAAGATGTTCTTACTTGTTAGAAACTATTTATCTAAGGATACAATCATAAAAAATTAAAAACTTTATTTATGTTAAAATGCTTCTTATTTTATTTCAATAAGCTCAGTGTTTTTATATATATATATATATATATATATATATATATATATATATATATATATATATATATATTTGGATTATAAAAATGAATTATATATATATATATATTTCTCTATTGAGATATCAGATAAACATCATATTAATTTTTTTTAATTTTGGTATTATGTAGGTTGCATTTCAATTCGTGTCAAATTTATGGAAGGAAAAAATTTTCGTCGTAACGCCATCATTGTTTGTATCAATACACGTAACCCTACATAAATCCAATTTAAAAAAAAAATCCGTTTGATGACGATCGCAAAAGGATGAAACCCAGTGCACAAACTCATTCATCAATACAAAAGTAAATGTTAGCCCTATTTTGATATTGAGTTTTCCAATCAGTTACTAAAATATAAATATAAATAATATATATAATATACACATATATATATATATATATATATATATATATATATATATTTGCATATATATATATATATATATATATATATATATATATATATATTATAATTTTTTTAAAATATTACCATTTTCTGATTTTGGTTGCACGCTTTCAAAGTCTTCGAATCAAGGTGCTCAAATTCATCTTTAGATTTTGACTACCCATTTAAGTGACTTGATTCCATGCCTTTGATATATTTGAGACTGGCCGCCCGCATTTGGTTACGATTACATATTCAATACATGTTTTAAAAATGTAATTTTCATACTAAGTTTTTTTTTTTCAGGCGTGTTGACCACATATGGAGAGAAAATAAAAATTCACTTTTCTTGGGATCAGGTTGAAATCATTTAGAACACCATTATGTATTCGTAAACTTATCCAATCAAATCATTTGTGCATTGTATATAAAAATTATCCTGATCCGACCAAGCATAGAAACGAATGCTATATCTGAACCTGTAAAAGAGAAAAAATCTTTTAACAACTTTTGCAATATGAGATCTGCTAAAAAAACGGTTGCTGAAGACATTAAGTTTATTAATCCCAGAAAATCATATACAGATGTCCTCAAGGACATATGGCGCAATGGATAAATGCGTTGGCTAGATTCAAAGACTTTTTTTAAAGTGTTTCCTGAGTTCAAAACCCTGGTTAAGGCTTCCTTTTTTAAACAGATATATCTGATAATCATATATATCCATTAGTTTAAAATGAACGAAAATCTTACCAGGAAACTTCGAAGTCGGGGTATAAGTTAACTAATCCGTATATGTATATATATACATACATTAAAAAAGCAGATAAAACCCATATCTTTGTAGTGTTAAATAAATCTGATTATAATTCAAAATTACAACAAATACCCGACGGTCACACCAGATTTTAAAAGTCGACAAAAATATTAACCATCTGAAATTGAAAGTCAAAATGCAGAATAAGCCAACTGGCATTTTCTCGAAATAATTGGTGACTACAAACCGGGATATATGTATGGAACAACAAAAGTACATAAACCTAACCTCTTTCTCTGTCCTATCATATCACATATCCCCACTCCAGTTTATCAATTAGACAAAATCATTAACAAACCTTCAGCTAATAAATACAGCATTAAATCAACTCATGAACTCATCCAAATCTTAAAAGCCTAATAAAAAAACCATAACCTCACTTGATGCTGAAAGCTTATTTACCAATGTCCCAGTTAAAGAAACAATTGATAAAATTATAAAGAATATTTACAACAATCCATCTCTCTCTTCATTAAAAATTAAAACTAACATATGAAAATGCATTTTTCTTTGGTGTTAAAATATATACGAGACGTTCTTTCATTTGTTTATTTTTTCTTTATCTTATTGTTACTTTCTTTCCTCCTGTGTTTCATTCGTTCTTTTCATCTTTCTTTCATTTTATGATTCATTCATGCTTTTCTTCATTTCTGTCCTAATTTAACCTGATAGCCTTGTATTTTTTTATTTTTTTCCTTTCATAATATTTAATAATAATCTCCATTCAATTTGAGTCTTCTTTCTTTTCATTCATTCATTCATTTATTCAATCATTCAATCAGAACATTTTCCATTTTAATTTAAAATTTCTTTCTTTCAACTATTCGTTTTACGTTCGTTGTTTGTTTATTTATACAATTCATTCGTTCCTTATTTATTCTTTTATATTTCAAATTTTCTTTATTTTCTTTTATTTTCTTTCTGTCTTTTTCTTTTTTCTTTTCTTTTCTTTCTATATATATTTAATTATTTTATTTAGATTCTTTCAATTTTTTGTTTCCTTCTTGCTTTATTTGGTTTTAAATTTTAATATGTATTAGAGCGTATGGTGTTATTTTCTTTCATTCTTAATTCATTGATTTTCCTTTTTGTCCTTTTGCATAATTTTCTTTGACATGTTTTTAGCGTAAAATCTTCATTTTTCTTTGATTTCTTTTTTTAATTTCATTTTTTTTTTTTTCTTTTTTTCATTTTCTTTTGGATAATACCCCATCTTTCCAGTTTTTTCCTTTTTTTTTTTTTCTTTCTTTCCGTTTCTTTCTTTATTTTTTATTTTTTTTCCCCTTTCTTTGATGAAAAAAATTTTTTTTCCTTTCTTTTTCTTTTTCCATTTGCTTTTTTCCTTTCTTTCCCTTTTCTTTCTTTCTTTTTTAAATATTCTTTTTTTTCTTTCTTTTTTTTAAAGAAATCTTTTCCAATCCCTTTTCTTTCTTTTTAATTTCCTTTCTTTTTCCATTTTCTTTCTTTTTTTGCCCTTTTCTTTTTTTTTCTTTCTTTCTTTCTTTTTTCTTTTAATGTCTCTTTCCTTTTTTCTTTCTTTCTTTTTCTGTTTCTTTCCCTTTTCTTTTCTTTCCTTTTCTTTCTTTTCTTTTTTTTCTTTCTCTTTTATCTTTTTTTTTTTCTTTCTTATTTTTTTTTTCCTTTTCTTTCCTTTTTTTTTCTCTTTTTATTTTTCTTTCCTGAAACATCTTTTTTTTTTTCTTTTCTTTCTTATTTTTTCAGTCCCTTTCTTTTTCAATTCAATCTTTTCTTTTTTTATTTTTTTTTTTTTCTTTCTTTTTTTTTTTCTCTTTTTTTTATTTCTTTCCTTTTTCTTTTTTCTTTTTTAATTCCTTTCTTTTTTTTTCTTTTCTTTTTTCTTTCTTTCTTTCCCTTTTCTTTCTTTAAATTGATTTCTTCCTTTTCTTTTTATTTTTTTTTTTTCTCTTTGTATTCTTTCTTTTCTTTCTTTCTTTTTTCCTTCCTTTTTTTCCTTTTTTTTTCTTTCTGTTTTTTTTTTTTCTTTTTTTTTTTTTTCTTTTTTTTCTTTCTTTCCTTTTTCTTTCTCTCTTTTACCTTTCTTTCCCTTTTCTTTCTTTCTTTTACCTTCCTTTCTTTCCTTTTTCTTTCTCTCTTTTTTACTTTTCTAAATATTTTTTCTTTTCTTTTTTTTTGCTTTTTTTTCTTTTTTTTTTCTTTCTCTCTTTTTTAAAGGGTTCCCTTTTCTTTCTTTCTTTTCCCTTTTCTTTCTTTCCTTTTTCTTCTTTTTTTTACCTTTTCTTTTCCTTTTCTTTCTTTTTTTTTTCTTCCTTTTTTTTCCTTTTTTTCTTTCTTTTTACCTTTCTTTCCTTTTCTTTCTTTTTTTTTTTTCTTTCTTTTTTCCTTTTCTTTCTTTCTTTTTTTTTTTTTTTTATCTTTTCTTTCTTTCTTTTACCTTCCTTTCTTTCCTTTTTCTTTCTCTCTTTTACCTTTCTTTCCCTTTTCTTTCTTTCTTTTACCTTCCTTTCTTTCCTTTTTCTTTTCTTTCTTTTTTTTTTTTTTTCTTTTCTTTTTTTTTATTTTGTTTCCTTTCTTTCCTTTTTCTTTCTTTGCTTTTTCTTTCTTTCTTTTATCTTTCTTTCTTTCCTTCTTTCTAATAGTACCACTACATTTCCCTTCTACGACCATCAAAATAATATGTAAGTACAACGTAATGGCGTTTCCATTGATTCATTTCTAGGGCCAACATTTACTAACCTACACGGCTAACCTTGAAAATAAGATAATACCACTAAAAATCTTACATCTACCTAAGATATGTAGATGACATTCTCATCTTAGTTAAAAACATATATGAAATACATGAATTACAAAAAAAAAACTTCCAAAACTCTCTGTTCTTAAGTTCACATATGAACTTAACTAATGGCAATAAAATTCCTTTTCTTGATGTATTGATAGATACCAATAATAATACGTTTACTACCTCTCCATATAAAAAAAAACTAACTAGCATAAACACCTGCACTCTCAACTATAAAAGTGAATGTCCTATTACAAAACAATGATTATAAAAATTTAATAAAGTGTGCAAAAGTTAATTCTTCCACGAAAAGATTTTCTACACTGAATTAAAAAAAATTAAACAAACTCACATTAATAATGATTTTCCTAATTAGAAAATTTATGAACAAATTAGACGAGCTTTTTGAAATATTAATTTAAATATAAAAAACAACAATTTTTTTCTGAAAGAACCCCAAAATATATCAACCTTTTTTATTTTGAATCAGATTATTCTTCAATTATTAATACAAATATATATATGTGTTAAGTAATGGAATTTTTGTTCAAACACACACACACAATATATATATATATATATATATATATATATATATATATATATATATATATATATATTTATATATTTATATATATATATATGAATTTAAAATTAGATTGCGACAACACAAAAGCTCCTTCAATAATATTAGAAATATTAATCAAACATCTCTATCCAAATATTTTTTTTTCTAAAAGAAATGAATAAAACACCAAAAGTAAAATGGAAAATAATAAATAGAACAAGAACTTTAAAACCTGGGATGACCCATGCACTTTTATGCCTACATGAAAAAAAACTACACATTATTAAATTTTTTTTAAATAATGAAAATTTATTAAACCATAGACATGAGTTAACGGTTTTTTTGACATCAACAAATTTTCGCATTAAATAATTAGCATAAAAAAAATTAGACGTCATAGTCTAATAAAAGGTTTAAAAGCATAACTGAAACATAAGATAGAAAAACCCTTTATGAATTCGTAAAAAAAACCAATTGTAGTTCAGTGCAACGCGTTTATGTGCGAAACAGCCCTTTAGAAAAAAATCAATAAATAAATAATAAATAAAATATATTTAGACACTTCCTGACGTATTATGGTGCCAACAACTATCTTTCGGTGTGATTGACCAGACTATGTGCATACATGAATGCCATCATCCGCTTTGAAATGGACACCTCGACACTACCTTGGCTTGATCTCTTTCCGAATGTGACTGATATGTGGATACAAATTAACTCTTACGATCCTTATCAAGATGGTCGCTCCATAGTAACTAATTTTGCGAATGAACATGCTTATAAAGATGCGTAAATTTCAAGATTGGTTATTCCTAAATTTTCGCTTGAGGGTGAAACAGGGATTGATATTTAATTCAATTTAATTTTAATAATTATATTGAGGTTTTTGGCTCTCGTTTTTAAAACATGAGAACTCTTATGTAGCGAAGGAATCATATTTTTTTTAAATAATTATAATTTATATATCTACTTATATATATAGCATTGTTTTTTTTAAAAATAAAAAAAAATACTAAATAACTCTGGATTATTTACCTAACATGTTCTTTTCCTATTTTTTACATATCTGTATACACACACACATATAAATTATTTATATACACACACATATATATTATATATATATATATATATATATATATATATATATATATATATATAGTTGTGTTTAACAACGAAAAATATGAAAATTTATTGTATTTATTTCAATATTTTTTTAAATTTTAATCTATTGAAATTCTATATATTGTATTTTTTTTAAATCTTTTTTAATACTAAACAATTTTATAAACAATATAATCTATATTGTCATTAATAAGATTTTTTTAATTTTGTTATATATATATTTGGTCTATTATTATAAATACATTGATATTTTAAAAATCAATCAAATTAATCCTATTTTATTCTTACTTGGATTTCTTTCATTGTAAATAAATAATGTTTTGATGATATTATATATATATATATATATATATATATATATTCGTATATATATATATATATATTTATATTTTTAAATAATATATATATATTTACATATTTTTTATATTTTTATTTATGTATATATTTTTGTATATATATATATAAATTTTATGTTGATTATGTATTATAATCTGATTGTGTTTGTGTTGTTTTTTTGTATATTATATACTGATTTTTTTTTTAAAATTTTTCATAAAAATGAAATGTATACATATAAAATATTGTCAGAGGACCGAATATAAAATGTCTATTCTAACATAATTTTCAACGAAGAAATAAATTGAATAACATATGGATATTTTTCTTTAAATTTTTTAGTTTTAAACTTAAATAGTGATTAAATTTGGATTTTAAAATTAGCAGTTTTTAATTTTAATATCAAATTTTATCATATAATTTTAATAATTATTGGTTAGAATAAATTCTTTTTTTAATATTTACCCATATTTTAAACGATCTGAATAGCTATTATAACATGACTTCGTTGTCAAGCTTTTTGAATTTTCATATACTTGTATTTTGATTGGTCATTCTAGCTTTTGGAACAACGTTTTCCCCTTATGAAGGATCGTTAATTAATTTGAAACTTTTAAAACCATTTGTTTTGCATTCAACATCATCACTTGATAAGACACCGGATTGTTGAAAACAAAATGGCTATTTTTATAGTGATTTTATAACATGTTTATGTTATAAAATTTTTAAATAAATAATTATATATATATATATATATATATATATATATATATATATATATATTTAGTTATTAATTAATTTGGTTTTGAAAATTATAATTCATCGAGTATATTTGAAATATTCATAGAAAGTAAAAAACGGCCGTTTCATCCTATATTTGGGACTATGTCAGCATTCCACATCCACTACTTTTTTAATTGAAATAAATTATATTTATCATGCAAACGTCATCCTACTGTTTGGAAACGGATAGCAAATCAAACTGAATATAAATATTTGCATATATATTCCGTATGAATATATTTTTATTCTAATATATTTCATAAAGTTGGTTTATTTCTGGTACTTTTTGTTGAAGAAGTTTCTCAAAAAATTTGAAATTAAATTCCCCATATGAGTTTATATTTATTTCCCGTATTTTACCTGTATAAATTCTATATATAAGAATCTCAAACGCTTTTGTAAAACGTTTTGTGTTGAAATTGAACATTTATTCTTAATTTCTCTACTTGGTATTTTAAAAAAATTTTCCGCGCCCAAATTTTTGATTCAATTTATGTAATGATTTTTTTTTTTAAAATAAATTCTCTTGTTATTTTTTTAAAAATCCAGATGCCAAATATTAACATATAGACAAAAATTAAATACATTTAGATGTAATATATGAAAAATTTAAAACAAAATTTAATTATCAACTGTAAAGAGACAGAATCTATGGTTGTCACCAAAAGGAACAGCTCAAGATGGGAACTACGAGATGGAATCATCAAAATCAAGCAAGTACAAAAATATAATATCTAGGATGTGTTTAAACAGAGAACGGAAAATGCAAACAACGAAATTCGGAAAGCTTTGGGACAGCGAAAGATGTCTTCCAGAAAATAAGCAAAGTATTAAGAAACAGGAAGTGTTGAAACTGACGACGGAAAATTTTGCATTTGTTTATTTTTTTTTTGTTTTGTTTATAGTTTATTTTTTTTTATATTTGCACTTTTATATTTATTCCTTTTGTTTTTTATTGTTTGTTTGGGTGTTTCTTTCGTTTTTTACTTGTTTTTATCTATTTTTATTATCTAATAGTTTATTGTTTGTTTTATTTTTATATATTTTTTATATTTGTTTTAAGTTTATTTTATATTTGTTTGATATTTATTCAGGACTTTTTTGTATTAGCTTTTTTTTTTTTTATTTTTAATTTTTTTTGTTTTTTATTTATTTCCATTTGTCTTGATTTTATCTTTTATTTTATCTTTTATGTTTAATTTTTCTTTCGTTGACTTTTTTTTATTTGTTTTCTTTCTTATGTGTGTCTGTTTTTTTATTTTTATTTAATTTTATATTTGAATTGTTTAAATTTGCATTGTTTTTCTGATTAAATGTTTCTCTAAGTTTGAAAAACTTGTTCTTGTCAAATAGCGGAGATAAAAATTCTTTTCGAATTTTCCGAATCACTATAAACGTTGCTCGGTGACAACATACTGACATCTCTCTGATTTTTTTTTCAATTTGACAATAAAAAGTAAAATAAATTAAAAAAAAAAAACAAATTTATTTAAACTATAGAAGCAAAATAGTTGCCAACAAAAAAGAAGAGCCCAACATATGAATCTGAGTTAGAAAATGAAAACCAAGAAATTTGGAAAATTTAAATATCTGGAATAGTTTCTTTAAATTAATTTAAGAAACCGTAATCCGAAGACAATTATTATATATTGAGATGCCTTCCGAAAGTGAAGCAAGAGTATTTAGAATTTTTTTTTTTATTAGAAACACGAAAAAAAATTCAGTTCGGAAATTTAAATTTGAATAGGAAATTTTTGAGCAAAATTATCCAAATGCGAAACCGTAATAAGATACATTAGGAGATATGAAAGATGCCTCCGAAAGGAAGCAAAGTATTAATAAAAATGGAAAATTTTATTAGGAAACGATGATTAAAAGAAAGTAATTTTCAATAAATATCTAATATGTTTCATAAGAATTCAGGAAATGAAAAATTTAATCCGAAAAAACATTAAACAGTAAATTTTATTCCGAAAATAAAAAGCATATTTTAAAGAGGAAAATTTTATTAGAAACAAAGAAAAGTGCAGTGAACTGTTATCTAATATCGTTCTTCCTATATGTCTGTGAATGCTGGTCAACCTTTTTCCCAGATAAAGAGATTTGAGGAAACAAAAATATGATTCTACAGAAGGATGCTGAGAATAATATGGGCCGAACAATTTTTTTTTTTTAAATGGAAACAAAAAGGGCACTTATAATAAACATCAGAACGAGACAATTGACCTTTCTAAGACGTATATTGAGGAAAGAGGACTTGGAAGATTTGATACACACAGGATATATTGATGGCAAGCGAGACCAATCGAACGCGCTTGTATAAATAGTTGGTTTTTTGATTAGAAATATAAATTGATCAAAAAACATAGAACTACAAAGAACATGAACTTGAAGAATGATGATCGCCCACGTCCGAGAGGGACACGGCAGATAGATTTAGAAAAAAAAGAAGAAGAAGAAGAAGAAGAAGAAGAAGAAGAAGAAACTTTTGTATTTAGTTGTACATTTTTCGACTTCATATCTGTTTTTCAGTATCATTTGTTTCTTTGTTTCTTTTTTTGTTTCTTTCTTGTTTCTTTGTGTCTTTGTTTCTTTGTTTTTTTTCAAAAGGAGATCGGTGGCTAGGATCAAAGTGTAGTATTGCTTTCCTGTTGAGCTGGTATCGGGTCAGCAACTCTGTCGAACTCTTTTTTTTCTTTGCTCCAAATACGAAGGGTGGGTTTCGTTCAGGGAGGTTAACGGAACTAGCCCGCTTGGACGGGTTTAGATGGGTTTTATTTTTTTCTGGGCCTACGGGCTCAGACATACCCAAATTAAAAAGGCCTTTTTTTTCAAATTCGATCCCCGTTTTTTGATGAACAAGGTTTTCGTTTCTTTTGTTTGATTTTTTTTTTTGTTTTTTTTTCTTTTTTTTCTTAGTTTTCTTAATCTGTAACTGTCTTTCTTTATTTCTTTCGTTTTCTTTATGTCTCTATTTCTTTCTTTTTCTTTGGGGCTGAGTTTCACTGTCTGTGTTGCTTTGTTTCTTTCTTTTTCTTTCGTTTCTGTGTTTCTTTCTTTGTTTATTTCTTCGTTTGGTTGTTTCATTTTTTTTCTTTGTTTGTTCCTTTCATCCCTTTTCTTTCTTTTTTTCTTATTTTTTCTTTCTTTCATTTTTTTCTTTCTTGTGTATTTCTTTTGCCTTCTTTCTTTCTTTCTTTATTTCTTTCTTTCTGTTTTCCTTTCTCTTTGGTTTTAACATATATGCGAGACGTTCTTTCACTAGTTTAGTTTTTCTTTACATTATTGTTACTTTCTTTCCTTCTAACTTTCATTCATTCGTTCTTTTCATCTTTCTTTCATTTTATGATTCATTCATGCTTTTCTTCATTTCTGTCCTAATGTAGGCCTTGTAGTTTATTTTTTTCTTTCCTTAATAATATTTAATAATAATCTCCATTCAATTTGAGTCTTCTGTTCTCTTTCATTCATTCATTCATTTATTCAATCATTCACTCTTTCTTCTTTCCATATTAAAGTTAAGTTTTCTTTCTTTCAACTATTCGTTTTTACGTTCGTTGTTTGTTTATTACATTCATTCGTTCCTTATTTATTCTTTCTTTCTTTTCTCTTTTCTTTCTTTCTTTCTTTTCTCTTTTCTTTCTGTCTTTTCTTTTCTCTTTTCTTTCTTTCTTTCTTTTCTCTTTTCTTTCTGTCTTTTCTTTTCTCTTTTCTTTCTTTCTGTGTTAAAAATTATTGTTTTCTTTCTTTCAGTTTTCTTTCCTTCTTGCTTTATTTCTTTCTATTTTCTTTAA